TTTAATACCCCTTTTAGCGATATCTCCAGTATCAACATTGGCTAGACTCTAGCCCTTATAAATTATTCTGACTAGTTCTAATTCGAGCATCTTCTACCCACAATTACAAAGAATTCAAAACGGGTTTCTTCGCAAATTGAGGAAGATTCATTTTGAGGAGGATTCGTTTCTAACTAATAGTCTATTCACTACTGTTAAAAGTAAATTTGCATTTTTAAATTGAATTTTTAACAGCTTCTTGCAAAATTAAATAATTAGCGTCATATTTTATTTGAAATATTTTTTTAAAATATGTCATATTCACTACTAACAAAAGCAGCTCTGCATTTTGTGAAAATACTTTTTTACAGCTTTCATCAAAATTTAAAAATTAACATTATCATTTTCAAGAATTTTCACGAGTTCCATGAGGTCTTAGATAGCTGCAAAGGTAATCCATTAAAGAAATTTAAAATGTTGCAGTCCATGCGCGCCTATGAAAATTTCCAATTCAGTGGTCACTATGGTATCAAATTATGTATAGTAAATGAAAAAATATCTCAAATATTTAAATTTTATCTCAACAAAAATGCAATTCGAATTTTCCATTAAAAATTTAAACCTCATTTTATAAAGTTTTCCTTATTCTGCTTTTCGCATTCAACGTACTACGTTCCATAGTCATAACTTATACTATGTGGTCTCTTTGGCCACTGTAATTATTTTATACCCGGTAATCCACGTGAACTCCACCTCGCACTTTGGTTTTTCACAGATTTCAACTCCGCAACTTGTAAAACTCATTAAAAAAAAACTCAACTTGGCATTTTTTGCATATGGAAAACGTAAGGAAATAAAAATAAATGGAAAAGTTTATCATATCAGTTGGAAGCAATTATTGTCCGCAGAAGGATAGCGAGGACAATGAATACAGGTACGTTTTTATTATGACAGCTGAAGTTGTATTAAAGTGCGCAACTCCGATTCACAACGTCATGCAAGAGGTCCTATAGCGGGTAGGAATGGCTGAATCTGCGTTTATTCCTGTTGTCATAAAGGTTAACGTAATTAAAATGGAAAATTTGTATGTAAATCTCATTCGAAAATATTGGCACAAAAGGATTTTCAACTGCATTACAAAATTTAATGGTACTTTCATTAATTAATTATCAAAAACTGAAATTACACATGAAAAGGATATTATTAGGGGCTTTTATAAAACTTGATTGACAATTTTAACATGTCAGACGGCGGAATTCAGACATATATACTTATATATGTATATGTATAAGCATATATTTTGTATATATACTTATACAAAATAATGGACAATAGTTTGAGAATATAAAATAAATATTAACAAAGTGTTTTTCTTTGAATTTAATAAATATAATTTTAGTAAATTTCAAAAAAAAATCCATTCATTTAAAAAACAATTCGCGTGTTTAATTAATGTTCTCAAGGGAACTACAATTTGCCTGACCTTAAACTTTGTTTCCGTAGAATCATACTGAACTTAATAAACTAATAATAATAAAAACTACTTTATTATTAAAATTTCACAACTTCAAAGCTATAGTAACGCCCTCCGTCTAGTATAGCAAACTTACCCTCACATCAGACAGAATTCTTGGAAATTTATCTTATGTCGTTTTGAAGTGAACCCTCAAATTCAGTTGGCAGAAAATTGAAGATACAATACTTTTGAAAATTTTCAGTTGCGTATAAATTTCTCAAAATCTTCATTGTTTTCTCCTCTCCCACTCAAGCATATTTTCCTTGGCGAAGAATTTTTTAATTCCACATTTCTTAGCTACAGATTTCGACAACGGAGCACCGCTAAGGACAAATCTAGTGTGTTCAGTGCCAGGTTTGCTAAACAAACGTAAACAAACAAACAAACAAGTTCAAATCAGTTTTAATGAAAGTGAAGGCAACGAAGTGAAGTACAGATAAAAACTTTTGCCAACAAAAGATACAAGCACTACAAAGAGACGATAAGTGCAAGACAAACAATTGCAATTGCCATTGGTATTGGTATTGGATCAGGCACTGGCATTCGCATTGCCACTTACACTGGCACTGGGACTGGTACTGGTACTGGTACTGCACGGTTCAGTGGATGCATACGTTTCTGTTGAGGACGTCAGTGCAAAGGCTTGCCGGTGCAAATATTTGTGATTGCTCTTTTGCACTTCACAAATTAAAGGTGTGCTATTGTCTTTTGTAATACAAAAATTTTTTAATGATGAGTCTTTGGCACTTTTCGCTGCGATGACATTTAAGAATTGCATGACATTAAAGGACATATTGCTTAGGAAGAGAAAAATATTCATGTGGTCTTTTTTTCAATTTTTTTAAATGTAAAAATTGCATTTTTAATATAAACTATGGACTGCTAGTTACTTAAAGAGAATAATAACTTTTAAGATGTAATAACAATCTCCTTATATTCTCTACTTCCACCCTATGCCCTTACTAAGAGCGATTTCTTTACCCAAAGCATAATACACAAATACATTGCATTAATAACGATAAATACATTATAAATACACCACAAAAGGAAAGAATAATAATTATATATTCTCTACCCACTAAATAGACAAATGAAATAGAATAAAGTGTATCCATGGTTCTCAAGTAGTTTAGACCCAAGAAGATCTTAAAAAATTTGTATTGTTTATTCTTTCTTTCCTAAAAGCGAAATAAAGAAAAGCTTTCAACCTCAATGAAATTAAGAATCACTATCAAGTAATAAAAGAAAGGAAATCTATCAACCTTAATGAAATTAAGAATCGTTTTGATTTTGAGAATTCTGGGGTAATTTAGTAGAAAGATTGAAAATACAGATAACAGTATTATTATCATATACCTAATTTAAAAAAAAACTAGTAAGTAGGAGTAAAAGAAAGCAAATCTGTCATCCTTATTGAAATTAAGAATCCTCCAAAACTAAATTACTTATGCTTGGTAATTGTGATCTTGATAAATCTGATCGTATCATTGAAGACCCATATTATGTAAGAAAACAGACCAAATAATAGTATTATTTTCATATTCCTTATTTATTTGGCCAAATACCTAGTAATAAGCTAGTAATAAGAAGTAAAAAAAAACAAATCTGTCATCCTTAATGAAATAAAGAATTATTTTGATTTCAAGGGTTCTAGGAAAGATGAGTAAAATGATTGAGAACACGTAATAGTATTCTTCTCATATTCTTTATGCATTAAATGGAGTGAAAGTGTCCAGATGCACTAACTCGGAAATAATAATAAGTAAGAACACAACCAGTCAACATTAATTAGACTAAGAATCATTTAAAAATCTTGGTATGAATAATTATTCTAAATTAGAATAGTAAGAACTAATATTTCATAACCTGTCGAGCTACGAAATTCCTTTCTTAACTAGATTTATTGTAAGATGAATAAAAAAAATTGAGCAATCAGATATATTAATTTAATTCCAGTTAAAAGTCATATAAACATTCTATATGACTTTTAACAGAAGTTGAAATAGAAACAATTCAGTTTAAATACAATAAATATAATCCTACGAAAAAAAAGAAAAACAACTTAAAATTGTTGAATATTTTAATGTAAATTAAAATATTTACTTTAAAATTAATTTATTTCAAATTTACTAAGAATAAAATTAGTTTATTTCCAAAAGTATTTTTAAATTAGGCTTATAGTTAAGATTGCTAATAAAGATTTGTGTTGCACCCTGTATCCTCTTATATTTAAAATAAATAAGTTCACTATTTGTATCTATATTAAAATAATTGTGTTACATATTATATTTTATTTTATACTGTATTTATTATATTTTATTATATAGCCATTTGTCTGGATATTTTCTTTTCAATGATACTTATTTAATTGTAAATTTATTGTCGTTTGAATTATAACATTCTTTTGTGGGAATTATAGGCAAAAGTTAATTTATTTATAAATTTATATGATATATTCAATTTAAAAGAAAGCACATTTGCGATAATTATACCAGTTAAAAACCAGCTAGAATTAATATAATTATTTAAATATATATAAATTTAAAACGCAACATATGAAATTTAATACTGTAAATGAATGAGAATTTTATTTTAATTAAAAATTAATTTTAATTTGTAATTTGTATCTTATAATTATATTTTATAATAATTTGTTTTATATATATTTCATATTACTCAATTGTGGTCGAATGTATAACAGTTACAGTTTATACCAAACGTAAGCACTAAACAAAGCATAATGCAACCCTGTCACATATGAAAATGAAATAAAAAAACATTGTTTGACAGTTAGTTTTCTCACTTAAGGTCATATTAAGTATAAAATAATCAACAAATAATTTAAGTTACAAATGGTTAAACAAATATTAATGATATGTTTAGGTGAATTTCAGACTACAAAAAAATATAAAAATAATTAATAATCATACTATAATTAGGCAACATATGCCGTTCACCTATTGCGGAGGCTGTTATGGTGGACACAATTTCCAAAGCCGGTCTGTCGAACGAATGGAAGGTTGATAGTGCGGCAATTGGTGGGTGGCATGTTGGAAACTCACCAGATCAGCGTGCACTTAGTACTATGAAAAAGCATGGGCTACCATATAAAAATAAAGCACGACAAATAACTTCCAAAGATTTTAATGAATTTGATTACATTTTTGGAATGGATGATGAAAATATGAGCGATTTGGAAAGTCGCGCACCTGCGGGCTCCAAAGCTAAATTACTTATGCTTGGTAATTTTGGTCTTGAAAAATCTGATCGTATCATTGAAGACCCATATTATGTAAGAAAATAAAAATTATTGATAAAAATAAAAGCCAATCATATTTGTTTTTGTAGCAAAGAGGAGATGCTGGTTTTGAAAAGGCCTATCAACAATGTGTCGTTGCCTGTGATGCTTTCCTAAAAGATGCTGTTGCTAATAAACTTTAATTTTATTTAATTACTATTTTAATGTTACAGAAAATTTATTTTAACAAAGTTGTTAGAGTGATTATTTAAAATAAATCAAAAAAAATTATTGTCAAAATTCATTTGTCATTTTACCATCTGTTGGGTGAGTATGGTATACGAGTAAATATTGACTTGGGCTAAAATGAAATTATTATTCGTGTGCATTGGTGAGTGTTATTATGTTAAATACGTCTAATATTATAATTGTAAGAAATATGTTAATATAATTTAAGGAAATACATGTCGCTCACCAATGGCTGAAAGTGTTATGAATCATTACATAAAAGAGCGCAATTTAGACTGGGAAGCAGACAGTGCCGGTTTAAGAGCATGGAACGTTGGTTATGCGCCGGAAGAACGCTGTATAAAAATATTATCCGAAAATGGACTTACTACAGCTCATATAGGACGAGAGGTAGAATTTTATTTAAAATACTGACTACAAAAATTTTGTGATGAAATACTTAGTAACGTATGAGACAAAAACGTTATGTATATAATTGGAACCGATTTAACTATAATTATACAATATATATGTTCATATTTTCTTAAATTTTAAATCCGTATAACTTGCATAATCAATTATTTCCAATATTTACAAAATGGTACCGTATATTGAGTTAAGCGTGTTCTAATCTATAAATTTAAAGTTTTTTTTTATAAAATATTTAAAAATGTTTTAATAACATATTTTTAAAATAGATAAAAATTGATGATTTCTATTTATTCGATTATATATTTGGAATGGATGAGAGCAATATGCACGAATTAAATGCTATAGCTATCGCAGCTGGTGCCAAATGCACTACCAAAATTGAATTGCTAGGTTCGTATCTTGGTCGTGATGAAGATAAAATAATACATGATCCTTACTTTGTAAGTCGAAGAAAATTTTTGTTTTAATTTAAATTACAAAATACATATTTTTAGTCGACTGGCTTACAAAGTTTTAGATGCGCATACGCCCAAATATCGGAGAGCTGTCAGAACTTCATTAAAAAACATGCATCGCAATAGACTAAAATATACTTATGTACGTATGTACGTAAAGCTAGTGGATACTCGGTCAATAATTTTTAACTATATTTGAAAATTAAAGTGTATTTTATATAACTTATAAATTTCTTATATTTAATAAAGTGTTATATAGGATATTAAAATCTAGTTGAAATATTATTATTTTTTTAATAATATTAAGCTTGCTACCGTGGTACTAGAACGGGCCATTATTAAGCACAAATCAGCCACACCAACCTAACTTAAGTTATGCTTAAATATCTGCTTAATTTTGTTCATTTCACCGAACATTGTTTATGAAATAATTATTATTGTTCAATATATAAAATTTATAAATAATTTGCAAATCATAATATTATAATCGTAAATAATTTACAATTATCAACTATATCATCAACTACTTACTTTACGAATATGAACTATACATTTACTAATCTAAGTCAAAAAATAGATCTACTACAAAGTTCTATCTTCGAAATGATTGTGAGAAACCAGTAAGTTAAACCATTCTTCGAAATGTTTGTGAAAAACTAGTGAGTAGGCTTTAGCTAAATTGTCAAATAATGTGGATATAATACTTCAAGCAAGAAAGAAATAATATGTGTATTATGGGGTTCTACTAAAGAGGTTTTCAATTAGCTTTTACTGATGATAAATAAAAGTACTATGAATAATTTACACATTAATTAGTTGATATTATCGATTATTGATGTTATGGAGACTTTAAAAGCTTACAACTATTAATTTTATTTACGCAGTAAAAAACCATTCTAACGATAACCCAGCTTGAATAGAACTCAATAAAGGAATATATTGCAAGCGCCAATAATTAAAACACTTTGAAGACAGGTTTCAAGATTAAAACTAAACAAAACAAGGCAAATGTTTGAAGGGCTATGTAATATCATAAAATAATGTATATGCTATAAAACAGTCACTATACAACAGAGTTTAATGTGATCAAATTGAAATGGCGATACTGCCTTTATAATAATTAATTATAACTAAATATATGGTAAATACATGGATTTAAAAAAGTTAGGGTGAAGAAGACATGAAAATTTATACTAGAGCACTTTGTTAATATATGTTATTCTATTTGAATAGAAAGCATTGAGATTACGACGTTTGTTCTCATATTTAATTTATATAGCAAAATATATATAAAAATCTCTGAACACAGTAACAACAAGAAATACATTTTGACAAAAAAAAATATTAGACATAAGGAAATAAAAACGTAGATAATTATATAGTAGCTTAAAGAATGTATTTAGTATATAATGTTAATAAATTCTTTAAAAAAGATCAACAACAAGTCCCATTAAAACGCGGTTTAAAAATTCATCCCAGGATTGTTCCAACATATCAATTGCGTCAGTTAATTCTACATCATTCAATGCTGAATACTTTAAAGAATTCCAAACTAAAGACTTTAAAGTTTTCAGACCAGAATAATTAGGTGCCAAACTCATAATTGCATAATAAAAATCATAACTAAGGCCTTTAGCATTCCAAAAACCTGGATCGTCATTAGAAATAACTATTGGCATATCATCAGCTAAGAAATAACCTGCTGGATGGTTTCGCAAATCCCAAATTAAATCCAATACTTGATTTGAGATAGGAGTCACTTCTATACCAATACCACGTTCTTTCACCGTCTTCATTAGCACAGGATGTTTAATTAGTGCAAAACCATGACCAATACGTGTGGTATTTAATAAAATTGCATCCACTAAATTCAAATCAATGGAACTACCATACCAATCTGTAAATTAAAAATTTATTAATAGATATTAATAACAGTATATATACAGACGTACTTGTTTCCCCAGCATGAAAGAAAAATTTCGCAGTTTTCGGTACGTCTTGTAAAATGGTTGAGAAAGTATGCAAAGCTTTACCTTTATCTTCTTGACCAACCAAGTCAAAACCAACAATAAAATGAGGATACGCTTCACTAAAAGAGTAATAATTATATAATAGATAATAATTAAATAAAATAATTAATATAAACTTACTGCATTCGCTTAAACACTTCGAATTCATTTCGTATACTTTCTTTTTCCGCACCACGATGTGTCGAGTATATAATTTTGATACCAAGAAAATCAGGATGTAATTTTTTGAAGTCTTCAACAATGCTTATTAGAATTTGAATTGTTTCATCGGGCTTTTTATCATTTCCATTCGCATCATAAGTCTTAAATTACTTAAAATATAATATCTACACTATTAGTTCTCTAGTTTTATACCTTTTTAAAACGCATGCGGATTTCAGCATACATTATATTATCCTGGTACATCTCTTCCAACATCCGCCAATGGAATGCTCGAAAAGCGGGTTCGAATTTTATTGCATCTCCCAATGTGTCAAACATATTTTGAAACTTCGTCCAAACTTTTTCGTCTGTATTGTACTCAACTATAAGCGATGAGTTTAAATAAATATGAAAGTGGCTTTAAATTAATTGAAGAAAGTTTGCTTCATATTAAGTATCATACTAAATATCTTTGGTAAAAACCAAAATTCACCTACAGAGTAATGATAAATAATGATCTGACCCTACAACCAGCTCGAAAACTTATCAAAACCCAACACTTCTATAGTATCACTGATCAACTAATACTATAAGAATGGTACTAGCAATAAATATGCAATACTACTAAAGGGTCAATATTCAACGATTATGAATTTTAAACTTTACTTTATTATTGAAAATTAATTGAAAAAAGAAATAGTTTTTATAAACATAGAGTAAATTTTATAAAATTAAAGTCTAACACTAAACCTTATATTATATCATAGATTCTATCATATAAAGTGTTTGTATCTCTGTTAGGTAGTAAGATATAGAAACGTCTTTTCACTAATAAATCTTTATATATGTATTAATAATATTTAACGCTTTAGAACTGAATTTATATCCCTTTTAATTAAAAATTTAAAGAATTTTTCATCTATATTTTTAAAAAATTAATAAATCCACCGTATAAAAAAATAAATCCACCATATATATATATATAAAAATAAAAATTTAAAAAAAAATGTTAATTAAAAAATTTAAAAATTAAAATTAAAGTCAATTTAAAATTTGTTAAATTGACAAAGTTAAATACAAATATGTTACATTATTTATATATATTTTTGAATGTTACATATAATGTAAAATATTTCTATTTAACTTTAAGTCAATTTAACAAATTTTATCCCTATAATACATATATTTAATATATTTTTCTATTCATATTTTTTAAAAAATTAAATATTTCATTAATTACATACTTACATTCCGGTGATTCAGTATGTAAATTAATTTTTTGTTCCAACACTTTATCATATCGTACACTACTATTCATTCTTTGTCGTTCCACATCCAAATTTTCGTATCTTGTTCGACATTTGTGTTTCCCCATATTTTCACGAAATGTCAAAATAGTAATTCCATTCGTATTAACACACTTCTTCATTCCTCCCATATAACTTAGGTTTTTGATAACCCAATTAGAGCTAACAGAAGCGGTATTATGAACATGCAGTATGGCACCCTTAGGCATCTCTCTAATAAATTGAAATACTTTGCTGCGATCTATAAGAGGTTTGGCTTTGAAAAAATGCATACCAGGTGTATTATGGTCGGGCCTTTCAAAATTTTCAGATAGTTCTAACAACTTTAAACGCATAAATATATCATTAACTTGTTGCTCCTTTTCACTGAGCTTCATATTGCCACCAGAACTTATGGACTGCTCCTCTGCTATTAAGGCATTTCGTTCTTTCTCATAAACTTAAAAATAGAAATAAATTAAATTACTATAATGTACTAAAAAAATTTAAATATTTGAAATGTTTTAAGTACATGGATTCACTTTGGGCTTAGGTGCAAATATGGGATCTTCGAAAAGAACATTGTTGATTTCATCTCTTGGTTGTTCTATTTCGCTTACAACTATAGCTACTCGTCCATCTAAATCGAAATTTGAAAACATTTTAGGTGTATGGAGATAAATCTTAAGACTAATCACAGCTTACCGATGCCTTTTAGTTGATTTATCGCAAGGTAGAGCAATAATTTAATTGTTAATAATTTAAACATTATTTTTGTTGAACTGCAAGAATTCAAAAAAAGAACTTTAATTGTTGGTCATTTAATTTGTTTATGCAAATTATTTATTTATCATGTAATATTAAGAGACATTAGGAAGACTGCAGTTATTGTAATGCATTATTAATATTATTTTATTCAAATTACATGTTTATGTGGTGTCAGAATACCACAGTTCAGAAGGCAGATGATATAAGAAGCATCTTATCAATTAATATTAGTAGAACCTGTTACTATAGATACTTTTATTAAATACTTATATCAAGGGCTACAGAGCTTTAAAAAACACACTTTTTTATTTAATTGGCTGCAATAAAAATAACTATATGTTAATTAATAATTACAATAAAATCTTCTTTTCTTTCATGGTTAACAACTAAATTAGATATTCCAGAGAATACATCGTATATCTTTGTCAATTATTCACATAATAAATATGAAATATTTACACAATCCAATGATGGGTGTGAATAATGATTACTTTTTTCTAAACTTTCAAGAATAACTATTGGAAATCCGAAAGATGGCAGTATAAAAAGTCAACCCTTGATAAAAATGTTTAATATTTACGTTATATATTCGCTATAATAGTATACTATATATGTACTTTATACACTTTATACATATATAGTATACTTAAGATCACTACAAGATAATTTCCTATATAGACTTTTTATATAATTGGATCATTTTTAATGAATTTATCAGAAAGTTTTTTATTTATTTTTATTTACTCCTATTTGGTTTAAATTAATTTAAAAACAAATCAATATTAGAGCAGTTTTGTGATATATAGAAAATATATATATTGTCAAGTTAAATCTATAGATTGTCCATAGACATTTTTTTGTGATATAATTTTATATTATTTTTTGTGAATTTTGTATAGTAACGTTTTAAGTTTTTATAGTTCTCTTAATACTTCTGTTTGTTTTAAGAAATATTTGATTATAAGGGGTTGAGTTGGTAACGAGATTTGTGACACCCTACATCTTCGTTTCTTTCCCTTATACCAC